TCCAAGCGCCCAGACCATGGCGGGGCTTTCATCCCTTCCTATCTCCACTGCTGGGGGTGCGTGGTTGAGGGTGTTGACCGACTTTGTTAAGCGCTCCTGTGTGATGCCATGTCACTGGTGCCTAGCAGTGTGTGGGCCTAGATTGGGTTTTCCCATAGGTGTCTAATTAGTGTGCCGGATTCCTTTCCAACCCCTTTATTGTGGCATGGACAGCTAATTTTCGCTTAGTGTAGGCATTCGGTGGACACAGCCCCCTTTATCCTGATCTGGTTACCTTTCATTAACAGCCAGCAGTGTCCTGGGGACCAAATATATTTGTGTTCATTTACTTGAACACACAGTGATGGACTCAGTAATAATTGCTAAAAAAGGATCTAAAATATTTTTTCAAATACAGTTTTGTACAGCTTCAAAATAATTTAAAATATTTCTATGACTTTAAACATAAACCTGCTTTCCCCCCTTTTTGGTCTAGCCATAGATTGCAGTTAGAAGTGAAGTTTTTTGCTAAAAACATTTTTGGAAAAAAATTGCCAATAAATATTCCTAGCTGCAAAATAATACTAAATTTAATTAAATACTAATATTATAAAAATTTTAACCTGAAATTTAGTTCAACAGATTTATGCAGCAGTAATTTGAAGGTTATGGGGCAACAGTTGTCTTTCCCCAAAGAGATGGGTCCCGACTCTGAATTCAGTGACCTGAGGAAGGAGTCTTTGCTAGTAGCAATGCTACCTGCTGCCAAAAACAATGAGCTTAATGTAACAGTAGAGACTCCTCCCCCACAGCAAAAGGGGAAAAACCATGCTCACACTATTCAGTAAACCTTTTGGTCTGACTGGTGTCTAAGCTCCAGGGTTTGTAGTCTGGATTCCCCTCTCCCTCTTGAATCTTCTCCCCCAGTTTCTCCTTAGTTTTGCTACCACGTGCTTACTTAGGTTCTAGAAGAATACTTTTGGTAAGGTGACAGACTTAAAACTTTTAAGCTTATTAATTTTTATTATAGATGAAAATTTACATAGCTGATTAGGTTCTCACTGAACAGTTTTTACACACATTTCCCGAGACATTGGTTACCTTTTACACAATGTCAGCATTTGTAAGCTTATTTTTGATAAAGGGTAAAAAAAAATATGGTCCCCAAGTAATCTGTTAAGGCTGTTGCTTTTCCCAAATCTTTGTTAACCCATCAACACTTTACTTGGCAGTTCCCATACATTCTGGGACCCTGGCATTTAGATTTCCCACCCTCTTCCAGGTTCCTGGTAAGTAAGCCAATCAGACAGTGTTTAGAAAAGTAGTTTGCCTCACTCACCCAAGTGTTTTTTCACTCACCCAAGTGTTTTTTTAGGGACCAAATACACGTTTTTGGTATTTGTTCAGCTAATAGCTTCCACCTATTGAGCATTTATGTACTACAAGCTAGTAAGTATTTTATACATATTTTGGTTTTTGGTATTTAGAGAAACCTCGGTTGCCCACTTGGGCTGGTAACCACAGGGCCAACACTTTGAATCCACCAGCTGCTCCACAGGAGTAGGAGGAGACTGCCTGTTCCTATAAAGATTTACAGGCCAGAAGGGCAGTGCACCCCTGTGGGGCACTATGAGTTGGAATTGACTCAGTGGCAATGGGTTTGGTTTTCTAGTCCAGTGGTATGCACTTGCTGAAATGTGAAGGTTTTATAGATGGAGTCTTTCTGGGTCTCTGGCATTTCTGTGGACAGATAGGCTGGGCTCAGACTCCTATCTGGCAGGATCTTTGCTAACCTTCTCCTCCAGGCAGTAGCAGTGTTTGTGCCCTGACTCAGTGGTTACGGTACACCAAGGACTCCATGACTCAATTTCTTTACCTTCTTCTCTTCCGTTGTTTATTAGGCGCTAATTTACCCCTCTTCAGCCCCTCCCCCCACCCAAGAAGGAACAGTGACACCAAAACAACCATCTGAAGAGGAATTTGCTGTCAAACCAGGGCCAGAAAATCTAGACAGTTCTCTTTACAGTTTGCCTACCCCTTCTTTCATTATCTTCTTCTCAATTGGATCATGTAAAAAATCATGCTACCAAAAAATTTGTTTTAAAATGAAGATGATTATGCCTTCTCATTTTAATTTCAGTATATTTGGCAATTTTTAGCTTAGATTATATGTCAAATAGCCCGTTGTTTAGCAAATACAAGCTTTCACCAATTGAGCATTTATGTGCTAGGTGCTACTCAGAACTTACAACATTTGCATTTACTCTCCACAAGAGAGTGACTTCCAAAGAAGTCCTCTTAAGTTGCCCAACGTTTCCTTGCTAGTCAGTGAAAGAGCGGGGAGCTGAGTCAAAGGCCAGCTGACTCTCAGCTTCTGCTCTGTGTCCTTCATGCTAACAAGTACTTGTGCTATTACGGATTAGGTGGTGTATTCTGAATTCGGAATACAACCCACTTTACTTTTGGCATGTTGTTGTGAGGTGTTGTCACGTCAGTTCCCACTCACAGGGACCCTGTGTACAACAGAAGGGAGCATCTCTGGCCCTGCACCTTTCTCACAGTTGTTCTTCTGTTGGAGCCCACTGTAGCCACTGTGTCACTCCATCTTGTCAAGGACCTTTCTTTTTCGCTGCTCCTACTTTACCAAGCATGATGTCCTTTTCTGATAACATGTCCAAAGTAGGTGAGAAGACAGCTCGCCCTCTGTCTCCAAGGAGCATTCTGACTGTACTTCTTCCAAGACAGATGTTCTTTTGTTCTTTTGTCAGTGATGCTTTCACTACCCTTTGCCACTACCATTGTTCCAATACCATCGTTTGAATGCATCGATTTTTTCTGCAGTCTTCCTTATTCACCCAATGTCCAGCTTTCATAGGCATGAGGCTATTAAAAATATCATGGCTCAGGTCAGACAGACTTTAGTCCTCAAACTAGCATCCTTGTTCTTCAACACTTAAAATGAGGTCTTGAGCAGCAGAGCGACTTAATGGAATCTATCCGTTGATCTCCCGACTGCTGCTTCCATGAGCGCTGATTGTGGATCCAAGCAAGATGAAATCCATGACCACTTTAGTCTTTTCTCTGTTTATCATGTTGTTACCTATTGGTCCAGTTTGAGGATTTTAATTTTCTTTACATTGAGCTGTAATCCACGCTGAAGGCTGCAATCTTTGATCTTTATCAGCAAGTGCTTCAAATCTTCCTCACTTTCAGCAAGCAAGTTTGTAATCTGCATATCACAGGCAGTTAATAAATCTTCCTTCATTGCTGGTGCTGCATTCATCATAAAATCTGGCTTTTCTGATGATTTATTCAGCATACAGATTGTGCATGATGACTGGACACAGCCCTGATACACACATGAGCAATTGATGGTCTGTTCCACAGTTAGTCTCTGATCTGCAGCTTCTCCACTGTCACTTCCTATAGAACATACTCACTTGGACTTCTGTGCATTCCATCTGGAATTGCCATATTTCAGTTATAAGCTGGAGGCTATATAGTGATTATAAATAGGTATTTTAAGGACTAAATCAGTTCTTTTTACACCTTAACTACTTGGCACTGACACTGCCTTCCCAGCCTATGAGATACATGTGCTGGGCGTTCCCTCACTCTGCCTGATTCTCTCCCCTCTAGCAGGGCATTTGGGGTTCCACGTCATGCAGCCAGATTGTGGTTGGTGGTTCCCTAACTGTCGTCTCCCTGGGGACTGGCCGTTGCTCTGGTGTGTTTGTTTCTTGGAACTTGTGAGTATATCATCAGTTCTACCCTTTTTTCCCAACGGGCCCTCCAAACTTAGCATGAATGCCGTTAACTCTAAGGTATAGGTGATTATGATTGCTTGATTATGATTGTAGTGCTAGAAACCATTAACAATAGTGTAAGAAGCTGAGGTGGTACAACAGTAAGTGCTTGGCTGACCCACACAGGTTGGTTGTTTGAACCCACTCAGTGGCTCTTCGGGAGAAAGACCTGTTTCTGTAAAGGTTACAGCCGAGAACGCTATCAAGCACTTCCTCTCTGGTACCCACGGCAGTTGAGTGTTAGTCACTTGTTTGGAAATCCATAAGGTGAGGCCAGCTGCCTTTGTCCTACTTGAACTGCCTCCCCATTCTTTAAATGCGAAAGTGTGTTCATGTACTTATTTCAGATGATTTTGAGGGGCTGCCCCCATTGACTACAGCTTCTTTTGGTGACCCAAATGCATCCTTTTGAGAGGAGAACCATTCTGGACTCTTTTTCTTTTTACTTCTTTTCTTTTAGCTACATGCCCACTCAGCCTGTATGCATCTGTTTTGTACTTGGGTAGCTAGCTACTTGTTCCCCCTATAACGATGAGCGTGACGTTTCATAATATTTAATTAATATAATTAATGATAACTATGAAAGTAAAGAATAAAACAAAAAATATTTTTTCCTGAAATTAAAAAATCCGGCGTTATAGGGGTAAGGCCCCCTCCTGTCATAATGGGTCACAGGTTGGGCTGCTAATGGCAAGGTTAGCAATTTGAACCCACCAATCACACAGAGGGAGAAAGATGAGGCTTTCTACTCCCATAAAAATTTGCAGCATCAGAAACGCAAGAGGACACTTCTCCTCTATCCGACAGGTTCAGTATGCATCGAAATTGACTCAGGTCATTGAGAGAAGTTAGCTACTGTTGGACATTAGTGTCTGTCTTTGTTGAGATGGGGACAGACATCCACATGTTCAGTTTATCCTTTCGTTTTGATCGCTGTGCAGGACTGCAAGCCGGTCTCCTCCACACCCACTATATTTACCAACCAGAAGGGAACGCATTTGCTGTGCATGCTGGATGATTTACGTTACAGCTGTGGCAGATGGGAAAATGAGACATCAGCTGATTCCTAGGAAGAGCTGTTGTGTTTAAACTTTTTTTGTTTCTTTCATGTATCCAGGGAAGACAAAAGTGGTAAGAGTTATTTTGTACGTGACTGATGATAATACACTTATTAAGAAAGGGTAATAAAATTCACCCTCCTTTGGTATATCCTCAGGATCAAAACATTTGCTGAACAGTGGACTCAGAGACCAATAAAAGTAAACTTCTACTCGAGCAACGTTTGACTGTTAGCCAGGTAATTCAATTTTACTTCAACTTGGTTGTTTGCAAGTTTTTTTTCCTTATGCCCCTAAAGCTAATACTTTCTTCTTCTTTAATTTGTTATTTAATTTTAAACTTGTTTTATGTCTCTTGTATTCCTCTTTAATTATATTAGTTGGATTAAAGAATGAAAATATATGTATACATATTTACATGCACGTAAACATAAAATCAAGCATATGGAGATGGACTCTGTCTTTATAGTGAACATTTTAAAAGCATTTAGTCCGAATCGGAATCACCTCAAGACGACCAGCTTCCTCAGCGTACTTGGGCTGGCAAAGGATGCTGAGCTGGGCCTCTCTGAACTTTCCACATGAAATCAGAATAGGAAACACGAGCCTAGAAAGACTTGACTGAGAGCCAGAAAGCACCTGTGCTTTCCATCACGCGTTTGATTTCTTGGTGAGATCGTCACAGTCACTTGGCTAGCTAGACTTGAAATCGAAGTCATTTTGGACTATTTTCCCCTGCCCCTTGATACATATTGCAAACAAACCCTATCTGATTTTCTATTTTCATGTCTTCTACATTTGTCCTACGTACTATTTCCAATATTCACTCTCTAGGCCAAGACCCCATCATATTGTGCTTGTATTTGTCGTAGTCCCTTATCCCCCTTTCACCCACAATTTTCTAGAAATTCCTTCATTGCATCCCTTTAGCCATGCCTTGAATTTGCTCTAAGCTCTGTGCTTCCTTTTCCTGGTTTACAGGAAAAGGAGAAACTCTTCACTGACATTTGAAGATGGCCCTTTATTTGGGAAGCTTTCCTAAGCCTGAAGCCTTAGCCCTTACTGTTTCTCTGTAAAACAATTCATTGGCTATACCGGTATGTTTTGAAACATAGCAGAAAATTGTTTCCATGATAATTATTTTCTTAACGCAACAACAACAAATTAACAAAACTTTTTATTTAGAAATAATTTCAAACTCACAAAAATTAAACAGGAAAAAGAACACCCAGGTAGACTTTGTCCAGATTCACTACGGGCTTTCTTATTTGCACTCGTGTGTGCACGGACTTTCTCCCAGCACTTAGCACTCTCTCTCTCTCTGTCATTTGAGGGTAAGCTACTTGTATTCTGCTCCTCTTCCCTAAAGCTTCCATTGTTACTGAAGACTAGGGTCATTCTTTTAGCTGCTTACCAACTTATTAATAGATTGATATTGGTCCAAATGGAGTATTCCACATTCCACGTTTGTCAGTTGAACTAGTAAACATCTATGATGGCACTTTCTCTTTCCCACTGTTTTGCTACAAATTTAATCTAGAGCCAGGTATTGCATTTAGTTATCATTTCTCTTTATTACCCTTATTCCTGAAATACTTGGGGAGCCTTTATTGTGAAAGAACACAATCTTTTAAATCTCCTACACCCAAAACAAAAAGAATGTTTCTCCATGTCTTCTATTTGTCGGAAGTGTCCTTGTAATGACATGGCAATTCTGCATGCTTGCATGGAGCAGTGCGCAGGTGATGCCATTTCCCGAGAAGGATCCACAGCCACTGGAGGCACCTGAGCCCACCTCATTGTGGTGCAATTTCAAGCACTTGACTAAGATTTCTCCACTGTATGATTTTCTTCTCTTTTGCCAGCAATAAGCAGCCTTTGGGAGAGACAATGTAAATATCCTGATCTTCATTTCCATTTCGCCTAGATTTAACCATTTATTGATGACTCTTATCTGATTGAATTTTTCCCTGTGATGGTTGCAAAATGGTAATTTCCTCATTCTAACACTCCCTTCCCATTTACCAGTCAGCCTTTGCCATTATTCTGTAATCAGGAGTCTGTCCATAGGGACTCATGAAGTTTTATTTTTCAAATGGTTCATAAGTCACTATTCTATTTCTTACTATTTGGTGCTGAAATTGTCCTAGATTTTGCCGGTGGGGCTCCTTTCTTTGGATTCTTAAGTCCTTATGGAGGATAGTATTTGAGACCAAGATCTCGGAGCGTAGCCATCCTCTTTTTTTTTTGACTCTTTCATGTAGCAGAACTAGGAAATAGATGTATGTTTGTACATATGTACATATACACAGATATCATTAATTCATAGTAACATGTCACCCCCCACCCCAAATTCATATCCATATGCCCTTCTTTCTCATGAGAACCCCTGGCCCACAACATCAGCAGTATATTCACTCATTTGCTCAGTCCTATATATACATTTGAATAGTTTCATAATTGCTTTGCCCCTTTCACTAGAAGAAATGAATTTAAGGAAATGAGTGGGGAATATGTTATAAATCTCTTCACAAGCCCCATGCTGCCCTGCCCAAGGCTAGGGTAATAAAGTTCAGTATCGGGTTTTTGAATTACTCATATTAGCCCTTTTGTCTCTCTCCCTCTTCTCTCCTCCTTAGTTTCTTCCCATCCTCACTTGCTTTGCGTGGTATAGTTAGGGTTTCAGTTAGGGTCATTTGTTTGTTTCCTTGAATTTCATGCTTGGTTGGCTCTGGTAAAATCTTTTCCCTTGAGTGCAGGCTTTTGTTAAGCCCTTCAATTCACATTCTGACTTATAGTGACTTTATGTTGGATTTCTGAGGCTTTGTGAATTTTTTATGGGAGCAGACAGCCTCATTTTTCTGTAGGGTTGAACCCACAACTGCGCAGTTAACAGTCCAACACTGACCCAGCAGCGCTACCAGGGCTTTTATTAAAGGCGCGTAGAATTGCTCTTGGCATATGTGAGAATGATTATTTTACCCTCACTCTACTTTCTGAAAGTATACGTGGATTTTCCTCAGGTCTGTGTTACAGCATGGTGAGACCCCAGGAAATACAAGTCAGGAAAGTGTTGGGGCCACTCCCCATCCCCCAAGTTTAGATTTCTGTTGGTATTAGTGGCTTTAGCAGAGGACCTCTGCTCTGGGCCCGATGTAGACTCAGACCAGGGATGAGTCTGAATGAATCTACCTCTCTCCAGTGACTCAGTTATCTGTTGGATTTAAAAAGAGTTGCTGCTTCTTGGTTTCTTGAGCCTTTTTCTTATTTAAGAAGGGGATGCCTGCTTCCAGTCTCTTTACACTGGACTGGAAACTGTGAGCCAAGTGTTATTCAATATATTCTGGATACTAGCCTTCAGATATATGTTCAGAGAGCATTCTCTCCAATCTTTGCCTTTCCTTATCTTTGTCTTAATTTCTTTTCCTTTCCCCCTAATCTTATTTACTTTGTTGTTGTTATTGAGAAAATATACAGTAAAACATACACCTATTCAACAGTTTCTACATGAAACATTTAGTGACACTGATTACAGTCTTCAGTTGTATGACCTTTCTCACCCTCCTTTTCTGAGTGGCTCTGCCCCTGTTAACATAGTACATAAACTCAAGTTCCCCAAATGTTTTGATTGGATCTTTTACATGGCTCTTGTTAATTCGATTCCAGATAGATAGATCTTAAAAGAGCACAGTGTTCAATTTCACCTTTATCATGGACTTCTATTTTTCTTACATGGCCTCTTTAAAGGTTAGAGGCCATGAAAATTTAAAATTCATTTCTGTATTTCTCTCCCTTTGATCAGGGTTCTTCTATGGGATCTTTGGCCAAAATGTTCATTAATGATAGCCAGGCACCATCCAGCTTGTCTAGTGTCAAAGAGGCAGTTGTTCATGGAAGCAATTAGGTAAACATGACATGCCATCGTTCTCTTCTGATACCTGCTCTTTCTTGCGCTAGGTCAGTGGTTCTCAACCTCCTAATGCCGTGACCCCTTCATACAGTTCCTCATGTTGTGGTGACCCCCCCCTAACCATAAAATTATTTTCTTTGCTACTTCATAACTGTCATTTTGCTACTGTTAAGAATCTGGCGACCCCTGTGAAAGGGTCATCGACCACCAACGGGGTCACGACCCACAGATTGAGAACTGCTACTCTAGGTGGATAGAGATCAATTCTTGTGCCTTGGTTGTCAGCTTGCAAACTTTTAAGACCACAGGCACTACATAGACAGACAGGGCTTTCTTCCCCTGTAAACAGTTGCAGTCTCTGAAACCCACAGGGGCAGTTCTATCCTGTCCTTTAGGGTTGGATTGATGACCATGTGTTTTGACTTCTTTTTTTTTGGAGTTCATGCTACAAAATAGGAGGTGAAACAAAAGCACTAAATACATTATTAGACCAATTAACTACGATGTCCTATGTAACCATGACCTCAACTCTCCAAACCAAGAAACCAAATCTCATGAGGTGTATTTGGTTGTACATAAGTGACTGCGCCTGCTACTCTATTTTCTACTCCTGGTTGTCACTGTAAATAGATCTATTACACTTGCCGGTTTAACTTTTTACAGGTATACAACCTATTGACAGGAATTTAAAAAATTAGCTGTGCAACCCTGACCTTAATCAGTATGGTTTTCCATCTTTTAAACCCATCTCTCCCCTCCTTCCCATCCCTAATAAACATTTGTCTCCATGCATTTGCCCTTTCTTGTATTTTTATATTAAATAACGAGGCCATAACCATCTTTGTCCTTCAGTGATTGGCTTTTCTTGCCCAGCATGATATAATTTTCTTTTGAAGGACAGAGTTTTGATTTTTGAAGTTCAACTTAACCAATTAAAAAAATGTGTGTTAAGTTTTTGGCATCTTGTCAAGGGTTGAGGTTTGGTTTTAAATTATGGACATCTAGTTTTCCCACTGCTATTATGAGTTGAAAAGACTTTTATTGTGTTACTTTGGTAACTTAATGCGAGAATTTACCATTGAAGCTGACATCAGGGCCTGGGTTTTCTTTGTGTAAAGGTTTGAAATTTTGAAGCTAATAATAATTACAGGGACACTTATTTTGTATTTTTTCTCAAATCTCTATTGTAATTTACATCTTGCAGTGAAATTTTAAGAAGTTACCCTATTTCTTGCTGTAGTCTTGCTCCCTCCCATTTTAATGTCTTTAAAAAAAAAAATCTTTGATACTGGCAATGAAAATTTTTTTTCTTTGCTTTTCTCTAATTTT